GGCGCAGCCGAGGGCGGCGAGCAGGGCGGCGGCGTTCAGCGCCAGCTCCAGCAGCAGCCGGCCGGACGGGCGCGCCATCTTCGCGCTGGGAGCGGGGCCAGCAGCCGCCCCGCCCGCCCGCCCGCCGCGTCACCCGCGCCCCGGCCGCGCTCGGGCCCAAGCAGGGGCGCGCCGGAGCCCGCCTGCCCCGCGCCTCGGATCCGCTGGGCGCGTCGGGGGAACCCGACTGGGCTCCACCTACCCTGCTTGAACAAACCAGGGCTTGCCAAACTACCTTGCTTGAACAAACCAGGGTTTGGTAAACTAACCTGCTTAAACCATGGATTGGAAAAAGCCCTTGCTTGAACCAACCAGGGTTTGGCAAACTACCTTGCTTGAACAAAGCAGAGGTTAGCAGGGCAGGCCCAGCCTGAGCCTATCCAAAGGGGGCGTAGTGGAAGCGGGTGGGTGGGTGGAAACCCTGGTGAGACCGTGCAACTCTTGGAGTAGTAGCCTAGCTGCTTTTAGCCCGAGAAATCCCATTTTGTTGCAAAAAAAAAGCTTCGTTTTGCTCACTTCTGTTCTTCTGATCTTTTCCCTCCGAACCACCGTTGCCCTAAAATTCCCCAAAGGCTGCCTGAAGGGCGAGGGGCTCTCGTGTTCTAATCAGGAACCCACCAGCTGGGAAGCGCATCTTTGCTAGAGGTATTTTCCTTATTTATCGCTCCTCGCTTGCGAGTGGCCGTGACTTAGTTTTGCAAATGTGCATAAAACCTTTGCCAATTGGCCAATATTGGGGGCTCCCAATTCCTGATTTAGTCCAGAGAACGAACACATCTCTTGGCGTTGCATTGAATAAAGAGGTTGCAATTTATATAAGATTTGTATGCTCCCTGAGCTTGGTGGTTTTCTTGCAGATGTTTCATGACGTCACTAGGGAACATCACCCATGCCACAAGGGAGTGGGGTTTGTGGAGGAGAGGAGGGGGGGCTGTGGGCTCCTTGGTGCCCTCTGAGCTTGGCTATTTGCTTGCAAATAGGTAACATCAGCAAGAAAACATCTGCAAGAAAACTACCAAGCTGAGAGAGCACCAAGGACCCCACAGGTTGCAATTTCCCAGCTTGTGTGATAAATTGGATACTCCGCACCAGGAAAAATCAAATCCAGCGTTTGGCTGGGCCAGTTCATGGTTTGGCCATCCAAATGCCTGTGCAGCCCTCAATTTTTCTCAACCTTGGCAACTTTAAGCTGGGAGGATTTTAACTCCTAGAATTCCACAGCTTTGCTGGGTAAAAGGACTATGTTTGCAGAACAGAGAGATCTACAAGCTACCCCAACTGCATTTTAGCCTAGTAGGCAGTCTGGAATATATTCTAACTGGGTCCCTTAAAGTCCCAGTCAGCAAGGCCAGTCCATTTTAGTGGCATCTCCTGCAAACAGGGAAGAGCGACACAAAAGGAGAAACCCACCTCCCACCCCACCCCCAAGCCTTTTTCTGGCACAAACAGGAAGTTCAATTTCTTTTTATTTTTTTTGCAAAACCATATTCTGTGCTCATTTGATGAAACCGTTTCCGTTTTTCAACTGGAGGAAGAAACACTTTCAAA